CATACAATGTTACAACCCCGTCAGTTTCAGGGCCCCGGACCGTACATGCAACTAGGACACATTATCTTAGAATTTCAACCAAAATCCCACACATTTAGGCTTTGTCAAGAGATAAAATCGCCCAGAAATCTCTCCTTACCGATTGAGATCCAGCTAAAAGTATGAATGGCACAGCCTCTCGCTTTCTGCAGCCAGATTTGGGTGAAAAGCCGTCAGTCCGGTTGCGCTGCTTGTCCCCGCCCCCGTATTACTGGATCCTACCGCACCCTAGCTTTCGAATGATGCTCAGTCAGGTTTGGTCAAAAACCAGAGAGAACAAGGTGTGGAGCTGGATGAACACAGCAGGCCAAGCAGCATCAGAGGAGCAGGAAGGCTGACGTTTCGGGCCTAGACCCTTCTCCTCTGATGCTGCTTGGCCTGCTGTGTTTATCCAGCTCTACACCTTGTTATCTCAGATTCTCCAGCATCTGCAGTTCCTACTATCTCTTGGTCAAAAACCAAATGGGCTTGGATCCATTTCAGAGAACGTAACGGCGCAGGAGAAGGCCACTAGGTTATTTGGCTGTTGGAATAAGCAATTCACTCAGATCCTGTTCCCCCGCCTTCTCCTCATAACACCGAATGTTCTTCCTTTTCAAACAATAGTCTCATTCTGAAAACAACAAATGTTGGCAATCACAGCGGGTCAAGTAGCGTCCATAGAGAGAGAGCAAGCTAATGTTTTGAATCTAGATGTCTCTTCATCAGAGCTCTCATTCCCTTTTTGAACGTTTCAATTGAATCTGCCTGCACCACCTGTGGGGCAGCTCACTCCATACCTTCACCAGTCTCTGCCGGAAATATTTTTTGTCGCTTGTGCCGATTATTGTGAAGTGTTCCCTCTTATCCTTCCACAATTGCGAACCTTATACCTGTCCACTCTGACCTGACTCCTCACAATTAGGAACACCCAAATCTCCCCGCAGCCTTCTTTATTCCAAGATAAACATTCTCAGCTTATACAATCTATCTTGATATCTGAAATTCCTCATCCCTGGAACCATTGTCATTTATCTCTCCTGAACTCTTTCCAATGCCTTCACATCGGTTAAAGAGTGATGCCCAGAACTGTGCACAATACTTCAGCTGAGGTCTGGCCAGTGACCTTGGGGGAGAAGAGCTCAATTAGCTCAAGTTGATTGTTGTATCCCAGAATGTTGTGGGAAGTAAGGGAGGAAATTAGGAGGCACTTTGCAGAAACATTTGCATCATCTATCACAACAGGTGATGTGCCTGATGACTAAAGGATGGTTAATGTTGTACCTTTAATGTAGAAAGATTGTAAGGAGAAACCTGGGAACTATAGACCTGTGAGTCTGGCTTTGATTGTGGGTAAATTGATGGAGATGACTTATGGACATTTAGAGATGCAAAAATTGCTTAGGGATAGTCAGCATAGTTTTGTGTGAGGAAAATCATGTCTCACAAACTTGATTAAGGCTTTTGAAGAAGTTACCAAATGATTGATGATGGCAGAGCAACAGATATTGTTTATTTGGATTTTAGTAAAGCCTTTGACAAGGTTCCACATGACAGACTAATTAGTAAAGTTAGGTCACATGGGATTCAGGGTGAGCTTGCCGATTGGATACATAATTGGCTTAATGGCAGGAGACAGAGAGTAATGGTAGAGGGTTGCATTTTGGACTGGAGGTCTGTGACCTGTGGTGTTCCGCAGGGATCAGTCTGGGTCCTCTTTTGTTTGTCATTTATATAAATGATTTGGATGAGAATATAGAAGGCATGGTTAGTAAGTTTGCAGATGTTGATGGCATTGTAGACAGTGAAGAAGGATTCCTAAGATTACAAAGGGATCTTGATCAAATGGGTCAATGGGCTGAAAAATGGCAAATGGAGTTATAGCTGGATAAATGCAAGGTATTGCATTTTGGTACAATAAACAAGGGTAGGGCTTATACAATTAATGGTTGGGCCTTGAGTAGTGTTGTAGAACAGAGGGACATAGGGGTGCAGGTACCTTATTCAAAGTTTGCATCACATATAGACATGATGGTTAAAAAGGCATTTGGCACACTTACCTTCATTGCTCAGTCATTTGAGTGTAGGAGTTGGGATGTTATGTTGAGGTTGTACAAGACATTGGTGAGGCCTCTTCTGGTATACTATGTCCAGTTCTGGTCATCCAATTATAGGAAGGATATTATCAAGTTGGAGAGGGTTCAGAAGAAATTTACCAGAATGTTGCTGGTTATGGAAGATTTGAGTTATAAGGAAAGGCTGGATAGGCTGAGACATTTTTCACTGGAGTGTAGGAGGTTGAGAGGTGACCTGATAAAAGTTTATAAAATAATGAGAGGTATAAATAGAGTTGACAGTAGCTGTATTTTCCCTAAGATGGGGAATTTCAAGACTAGGGGACACATTTTTAAGGTGAGAGGAGAGAGATTTAAAAAAGACAGAGGCAAAATTTTTACAGAGTTCACGTGTGGAATGAATTTCCTGAGGAAGTGGTGGATGTGGGTACAATTACAATGTATAAAAGACATTTGGATGGATATAGGAATGATATATGGGGGCGGCACAGTGGTTAGCACTGCTGCCTCACAGCACCAGGGACCCAGGTTTGATTCCACCCTCAGGCGACTGTCTGTGTGGAGTTTGCACATTCTCCCCGTGTCTGTGTGGATTTCCTCCGGGTACTCTGGTTTCCTTCCACAGTCCAAAGATGTGCAAGTTAGGTGGATTGGCTATGCTAAATTGCCTATAGAATTCAGGGATATGTAGGTTAGGTACGTTAGCCATGGGAAATGCAAGGTTACAGAGAAAGGGTACGGAATTGGGCCTGGGTGAGATGCTCTTTGGAGGGTCAGTGTGGACTTGTTTGGCTGAATGGCCTGTTTCTACACTGAAGGGATTCTATGAATAGGAAAGGTTTGGAGGGATATAGACCAGGATCAGGCAGGTGGGATTAGTTTAGTTTGGACTGGTTGGACCAAAGGGTCTGTTTCCATGCTGTATGACTCTATGATTGGATGACTAGCTTGACATTAACAATGATGACCGCCAACAACTGCAACCATTTTCCTATGTGCTAGGTATGATTCTAGACAGGATTGTCAGAATTGCCCAAAGTCTCCCCCTCTTGCTCAGGGTCGGAGACTTTTGCAGAGGGTCAGGCAAATTTCCCATCAGAAGTTCAAACTTGCCTGGAATTTCCACATGGCCAGCATGATGGGACTTCTGAGCCAAAGGAACTGGGCCCAGAGAAGGCCATTCAGGCTTTCAATGAGACTATGGCTGATCTGTCCCTCAATTTCATTCTAATTGGTGAAAAGGAGAGAATTCTGCAAGACCTAACACTACATTCTCATAGCTCGGCCTTGAATGTCTTGGTAACTGATACAAATGTGCAAACACATTTGTAGTATATTCCTAATGCGCCATGTTCATACCTTATTAAAGTGAGGGAGCAAATGATTTTAAATCAGCACATTATTTTTAAACAATGTGCAATATATTTGCTATGTATATACATGGGAGGAGGTCATTATTAGTAATGAATCAGCATCATGGAATGTCTGCAGGCAACCACACCCTCAAATGATAGTTCTGTTGGAGTATGTTGCTTGAATTCTTTCATGTGATTTCCCCAGTGAACATTTTAAAACATACTCGCTGGGTTAGCTCTCCACAACCCTTGGCTAATGTTCTGGGAACATGGGTTCAAATGCCACCATGGAAGATAGTGAAATTTGAATTCAAGAAAAATGATTTGGAATTAAGGAGCCGGTCTAATGGTGACCACAGAGCTATTCGTGCCTTTCGAGGAATAAAATCTGATTTACAAGTGATTCCAGACCCACAGTGATGTCTTTCCTGTCATCTGGCCAAAAAACCGAAAACTGGCCTAATCATCGACACCGATGTCCCATTTTTAAAACAAAATTATTGTCTCTACTGAACAAAACTAGTCTTTCCTGTCCACTCTACATGGGGCCCTCATCATTTACTGACCTCATTACTGACTGGACTGGCTACAAGAGCAGGTCAGAGGCTAGGAATCCTACCTCAAACTCCTCTGTTACAGTCCTAATCAATTGTGTCTTTCCTCAGTGAATACATTCCAATCCTGGCAGTGTTTCTTTCCTCTTCTCTGTGCCCTATCTAGTGTGATCAGGTGCTTCCTGTAATGTGGCTAGTAAAATTACACACCATTCTCTAGCCTTGGAACAGTTTGTGTTTCATATAATTTAGTTCAGAAGAAAAGTCTTGCCAGACTTGAAACATTAACTGTGTTTCACTCTCCAGGCAGATCTGCTGAGTTTCTCTAGCACAGTTTCTGTTTGTATTTCAAATCTCCAGCATCCACACTACTTTGCTTTTTTTTAGTTTTTTATGCAGTTTTAAAATCACCTCTCTGCTCTGACATTGGCTGAGCCAAAGAAAAGTCTTGAGTGTTTGTGCAGCTCAGTGGCTCAGTGGTTAGCATTGCTACCTCACAGCACCAGGGACCTGGGTTCAATTCCAGGTTTAGGCCACTGTATGTTCACCCTCTGGGTGCTCCATTTTCCTCCCACAGTCCAAAACTGTGCAGATTAAGTGAATTGGCCATGTTAAATTGCCCCCTAGTGTTCAGGCTAGTTGGGTTAAGTATGGTAAATCCTATGGGGATAGGGTGCAGTACTTTCTCTGTACTGTATGATTCTTCTTCTGTATTGTCTTCCCTCAGAGACAAAAGCGGTGAATGCTTCATCAGATATTTGCAATTTGTAATGGGCTCTGCCCACTGACTACAATCATTCTCTGGACATACACTCCCCTGGGTGTGAATGTTTGTGAAAGACCCAGTAATCAGCAGACCAAATGGAATTGATGTCAGAATCAAAGTACAAAATGCTGGAAATACTAAGCAGGTGTGGCAGCATCAGTGAGAGGGCACAGGGATTGACTGAAGGGATAGAACCTTTGTTAAAGGTTTACGACAAGCACAATTTACACAAGAAAGGAATATGAACAGCACAATCTCTCTCTCTTTCTGAAAAAAAAACAACAGCACTTGACATTAAGTGGCATTACCATCACTGAATCCCCCACTATCAACATCCTAGCGGTTACCATTGACTAGAAACTGGGACTGGACTGGCTACAAGAGCAGGTCAGAGGCTAGGAATCCTGCAACAAATAAGTCACCTCCTACTCCCCTAAGCCTGCCCACCGTCCATAAGGCACAAGTCAGGTGTGTGCTGGAATACTTCCCACTTGCCTGGACAAGCGCAGCTCCTACAGAACCCACAATGCTTGACACCATCTAGGACAAAGCAGCCCACTTAAATAGCACCACATCCACAAATATTCATTTCCTCCACCAATGAAGCACAGTAGTGGCAATGTGTATGACTCACTGCAGAAATTCATCA